CTATTTAAGTGCTCCTTGCTCAGCCTTGTCGGCTGTACGTCAAAAAAACTTCCTGCCACCCGCAATGATGTTCACAGTTCAGCCTCTATATTCTTACCAATTACTCTCGATGGCCTATTTTGAAGCGAAACTTATGAATTTCGTGACACACACACACACACACACACACACACACACACACACACACACACACACACACACACACACACACACACACACACACACACACACACACACACACACACACACACACACACACACAACAACAAACTTAGCGGATTATATAGTAGGAAATTTCTGTTATGTAAAAATAAGCTGCAAACAATACACAAATGGTCTGTTTTTACGCAATGTTTGGCGCAATTCGGCAACGGGAAGGGGGGGGGTGCATTTTGCACTTTCACTGCTTCACTGCTTCCCGGTTTACAAGTCTCACTCTGGTGAAACATCGCGAAACCTCTTATTGAAGCTGGAGCACCTATCGACCGCAAAGCGTGGACGCCCGTCGTCGACCGTGGCCAATGTTTTTTGCGGGTTTTTATGAAAGAATATGGATATGTGATGGGTGAGCTGACGGATGACGCAGCATCCAAATCAAACTTCACCTATCAGAAACTATTGGTACCGTATACTGATCACATGCTACGCTCGCAGGCCACTTCCACCAGCTGTTATCGGGTGCTCCATTCAAAAATTGCTGGAAACAGGCTGGTGTCGCTCCGCCACCCACACTCGCTCTGCTACCCAGCTCCGCGAGCAAACAAGCACTATAACATGTGGCTTGATCAGCGCGAAGATCTGAATGACGTCTCCATTTGGTTCTTCGCTGGCATGTCTTCATTAACTTATTAGGGAATGAAAATAAGTGTGGCCTAAAAACCACAATGAAATATTCTCAGGGCAAATTTCCTTGGTGTATTCTCGTAAATATTTTTGGAGAGAGGGGAATCGTACTGAGTCATATCACAAGAAAAACAAAATGCCCAGTCATACCTTGGCCCTTAACGCTACTGCTGTTAAACCGACTCATACACATCACAAGAAAAAAACAAACAATGCCCAGTTGTATACCTTGGCCCTAACGCTACTGTGTCTAACCGGACTCATTACCAATCCACAATGAAAAACAAAATGGCAGTTGTCATACACTTGGCCCTAACGCTACTGTTTTTAATCCGATTATACATCCACAGGTGGAAAACAAAATTGCCCAGTTGTCATACGTTTGGCCCTAACGTACTGTGTTAACCGACTCATTACAATCCACGAAGAAAAACAACATTCCCATTGTCATTACCTTGGGCCCTGAACGCTACTGTTGTGTAACGACTCAGTACAATCACAAGAAAAACGAAAATTGCCACAGTTGTTCATAACCTTGGCCCTAACGCTTACGGTTGTACTGACTCATACAATTCCACAAAGAAAAACAAAATGCCCAGTTGTTATACCTTGGCCCTCACGCTACTGTGTTAACCGTCACAACACCGAGCCTGCATGAGGCCTTTCACCCAAGGTACTTACCATGGATTGTTAGCACTCACGCTCGATCAGCGTACATCACCAGTGAACCATAGACTTGACAATTTTAAGCTTCATTTTTGTAGGAGGCTTCACCCTTGAAATGAGTGACGACCAGGTCTAAGTCTTAGCTAGAGTAGACTTTTCCCACTTTTTTTCGTGAACTATGGCCAAAAACAGCAAGTATGTATCAAAACGAGGTGAGACTTTTTCAGAGTCACTGTCTACACCGGATTTGGTGAGATGTGACCACCACCCATCCGAAGCACGAATTAAAGTTTACGTTGCTTTGGGATCTGTTTCAAGCCTTCCCTTTCTTAGTGATTAGTTGGTAGCTAGCAGATTTGTTGGCCGAGATAAAAATTACACACGCACATGAGCTTATTAGATTTTCGTATGGTGTGAAATGCACTTGGACGCGTCAATGCTTCTTGATTTCTGAATGCAAAAGAAAACAAGAAGGCGCACCAAGAAAATGTGGCAAAAAAGTACAAAGCTCCAAGAAAACCCAAAAGTTTCCGCAAAAAATTTCATAGTTATTTCTTCCTTCGGATATTTCGGTGCTTACACCTTCCTCAGCGATCTGATATAACGCACATGGGACTGTTGTTGTGCTGCCTCCAAAGGCTGCCTCCGCTGCTGTGGACTTAGCACTTGCGGGAGCAGCGCCTTGAAGTTAGTACTTTCCAAAAACCAGCTCAAGAACTCATAATTATTTAGATCGTTGAATTGAAGGCAGTTGGCACGATAATTTGGTACTCGGCCTAAAATGCTAGCAGAGCGCTATATAGTAGGAAAATGGCGAAAAACGAAGTGAAACGGTCGAAAACTGCGAAGGAAAGCCTTCGTTCTTAAAAAGCAATTTCGGACGAGTTTCCCGTAGGCATATTGCCAATAACCGCTACGGTAGGTATATATCCATGCAGCACCGCAGCCGCTTCATACCAGTGCCTTCGCTTCATATTTTAGTTAACAATTGAAGCAATACGAGTATCAGGTAGGCATCAGGTCGTCCATTTGTGGGCGGGCGGGCGTGGTGGGCGTTCGGGTCGGTATGTTGTGGCTTGATAGGGCCTTATAAGGGCACCTTCTTGGAAAAGGCGCTACGCAGCGCCTGCTCAAGGTCGCGGAATTCCGTCCTGCCAGGCGCACCAACCTACTCGTCTTCAGGGAATTGTCGTGCCAACCGCCTTTTACTGAAGCTCTTGATGTTATAAACACTGTCAAACAGCGAACGGAGCTTTATTTACTGGAGAATTCTGAATCATCTACACCGATAACCAACCAAGCAACAGTGAGTGACTGTTTGTTCTCAAAAAATGCTCATAACTAGGCATGTGAAGTTGCACCGATAAGCCTGCATCGTGATGACAGCATGACTCATGTTCGCCTAAATATGGGTGACAAGCAACACATTCAATGGCCATAAAATTCAAAAGCAGCCTCTCCGAGGCTTTCGAACCCCCAAGTTATAGCTGACGTCCTCCATTCATAAAAATAGCCTAGAACTATTATACAAAAATAGGGTACCTGAAAAGTTTTCCACAGTACAGTATTTGTTTGTGGAAGGGAGTTTGGAGATGCAAAAAGGCACTACTTCTACCTTGGAAAGTTGGAAGGCCGAAATAGCATAGACAGCATTCCTGAAAGCTGATGCTGCGAAGCGAAGTATCACGGACGACCTCCAAGACCAGCAGTCAGATAAGTTCCGTACCGTAGTTGGGGAGTCCCCAGCAAGGGAGGGGGGGGGGTCGGAGTTAGCTGCTGGATGGAGCGGTTGTAAGTGCAGAGTCATCAGCAGCGAAACCTATAAGTAAGCAGTACAGCTCACTTGCGGGGAGCGGAAATCCCGCTCTAGAGAGCCCTGAGGAGTGTAAAACATCACCAAATAATAAAATAATCAGCAACGAATAGCTTGTTAATACTTCTTGAATCTGTTCCGCGGGGAGATGCACATTAACACCACATTCAAAGGCATGAGGCATGTTTTTTTGGTACTCGCTCTGAAATGGTAGCAGGCGTGCTACAAAGTGGGGAATACGGCAAAGAAAGCAAAGTGAGGCTGCGAGAAGAACCGAAAACCTGCTAAAAATTTCCTTTTACCATTGCTCCCTACGGCTTCTAAACCAATCTCGGACGAGTTTCCCGCTGGTATCGTACCAATAATTGCTACGACAGATGTGGCATGTCTATATTCATATATCCATGCAGCACCCTAGCCGCTTCATATCCTAATCCCCTTCGTTTGTACTTCGCAAATGAAGCGATACGAGCAGTCTGGTCGGCGGCATTTGTAAGGGGGCGAGCGTGCTAAGCGTGCAGGATGGTAATGCAGCGTCTTGATAGGGCGCCCTACTAGAATAACCATCCTTGGAGAAGGCGCCACGCAGCGCGCTGCGAATTCCGTCTCGCTAGGTATATTAATCCTACAGGCTTAAACTTTAACTCGCTACGGCCTTGTCTTGAGATGATAGGAGTTACAATTGATATGTTCTCAAAGATATGGCAGGAGCTATATACATGGACAAAATGAACGCGACCGTCCCATATCTGCGGACCGGTGGGGCGTGTCAGCCAGTATGAGTGTGCACACTGTTGAAGCCGTTCTCAGCCTTTTTGCTGAAACGCGTATGCGACAAAAGTGGTAAACGAAGTAATAACGAAAGATAGATTGCAGTAGATTCCACTTGCCCACTTCCACAACTGGTGCAGAACGACGTTGGCAAACCGAGCCAAAAGCCAGGCCGCACTGAACAGCCGCCCACCGGCCGGCAGTGATGAGGACTGTCAGAATTCAAGAGTAAGCGGCCACAGACCATGCCGTTAAAACATTATTCCTGCACGCATAAACGAGCATAAATCGACATTATGAGTGATGATGAAGAATATCACCGCCGCGATTTAGTATAGCTCTGCGGACAACTGGGGCTACTGGTCGGCCTGACTCCGAAGCGCCTCGAAACACTAGCTGTACACCGCAGAGAGATGTGCGCTCAAGAGCCAGATTGTTTTCATATTCCAGTTCAGTGTGTAAAATAGCTCAGGAAGGGGAAATCCTGTACGTGGAGAAGAAATTTCGATTAAAATCTGGACTGACCAGAAGAGTGGGACAGTGCAAGGGAAAGGAAAAGCAGTCAGATCTTCCAGGGATCTGGGTCGTAGAGTGAGAAGACGGAGATCACCTTTAAACTCCGTTGGACAATCCCTAGAAGGGAATATGGTTTTCTGCTCCTCGGGTTCTTGAGTATCAAACCTTCTATTTTGGAAAGAATGTGAATAATACTTCCTGTAAGAGCCGCCTACAATTCATAGGTCGTAATGTGAGCTGGACGCCAGGAAGTGTCTTATCAAATTGGTCAAGATGACGACAGCTTTGAAAGAAGTTAAACATCGTAGGCGGCAGATGGTCTCGTGACTTCTGATAAGGCTTATTCATCGGTGGTATATAAGGCAGGTGTCCCACTCCCTGGCACCTCACAATGAAATTCGCTATCTTATTTTTCATCGCTCTCCTAGCGCTAGCTCTGGCTAGACCCCATTCCAGCGACAGTTCAGATTCTGATGAGCACCCTCACAGAGGAAAGGTAGTCATGGTATTTTCATGCTTCTCACTCGAGCCCTCTTTGGGTCATAAAATAATTTATACTGTTATGTGAATGTTTCAGCCACACCACAAGCACCATCATCGACACACACGTCGTCCTCCTCCACCACCACCACAAACTGTCGCTCCTGTAACTACTGAGGAAAGCCCTGTAGTTACCGATGCACCATCTGATGCTCCTTCGAGTCCGACTGAAATTGGCCCGATCGTCACCACAGGCTACTTCACCACGGAGCTTGCTGAATTAACATCGGCAGCTCCCGAAGGAACCGCCGGGACTGTGTCTATTGCAGCGTAACTTCCTCCATTTCGCAATCAGTCTGGGCGGTGTCACGAGGCATGGAATGAGCCCGCTCACGGCGTATCCCTGGTTGGTTACCTTCTGGATCAATCACTGACTGACCACTACTGGTAGAATACGTAGCCGGGGCCGGGCTCATTCCACGCTCGAATTATATGTGCAATAATTGTGTATATACGTACTGTATATTATTGTTTATACACGTAATAAATGATTTCTAATATATTCTCCTCTATCTTAGAACTTCAAAACCCTCAAACCCAACTTCTGAAACCATCCTCAAATCCCCCTAAACCTTATGAACAGAAACGAAAAAAAGAGTTCACGTCCAGTAATATACTTCACAAAGACAATAACACAACTTACCTTGAAAAAATAGAAAATACAGTGAAAATTAGGGAGAAAATGGCTAAATAGGCTGGAAACAGCTGATCGCCGCGGTCGTGACGCGCCGCAGCCGCGTCTGCGACCCTTTGACCGCCTAATCAACTGCCCGGATGACGACGTATACAGGATGAGTTGGAAGTCCTGCCATTTTTTCAAGAGCACTTTGATAATAAAAAAAATGCCACACGAATAGCTAAATCAGTTCAGGTGGGAGGTGGAGGTCAAAAAAATTGCTCTGCTCATGCATGGACCATCAAAACTTGTGTTGCACAATGTGACAAAGCGCAAGGAAAAGGTAAACACTCCTGGGGCACCAGAGGTTACTAGCACCGGAAAACCTTGTGGCGATGAGGGTAGTGAGCAGAGGCACCGTGTCGCATCGCTTCTATCCATCCCTTCACCGGCCATGAATATACCGCCTCTAGGGTTTTGAATTTTTCAAGGCAAGTGGCACGATAAATCAACAAAGCGTATAGGGTCGATGCGCCCCGCGCAAAAGAATATTGTGCTCTTTAGCAGGTGCTGCGATGGGTCTTTTCCAACCAAGAGCACCCTTTATAGCGCCTAGCCGGTTGCAACCGACTCAGACCCCTACCGCGACCGCACGCCCACAGATCGCCGAACAGTCACGTCGCTGCTGATACTCTTATCACTCCATTCACAAATCTCGTCGGATTTTTTATTTACTTATTTATTTATTTATGCGTACGATGACGCGTCAGTTGAACACTAGGGTCCATGCAGGCAATTAATACAAGAAACTCAATGATTCAGAAACACAGAAAGGGATTAACGAAGAAAAACTAGCGAACAACAAAAAAGAGACTAATAAAAAAATTAATGAAGTAAAAGAGAGAAGAAATACCCGAAAAGGAAACCACGAAAAGGAATACTGTCATGTATAACAAAATATTTGAGCCTTGGAAATCAAAGTAGGAGAAAGCCGTGAAAGTGGAGGAGTCCATAAAAGGTTGAGAAGACAGAAGACACGTCTTATAATAAGTAACCCCATGGTTTGCAAAGTGGCATGTGAGGCTTAGAAAGAAGGAACAACACAACAGAACAAACAGACGGCTGTCCTAGGCCAGTCCAATGACGTGCAGAAATAGTTTTTCGCAGGTTCCAGGCCACTGGCCTTCTCTTTTTCGTCGTTTTCTCACCATATAGCACCCTACCACTATTTTTGAGCAAATGCCAAATTATTGTGCCTTGTGCAGTTGAAAGATAAATATGAATTCCACCACTACAATAAGAGAGGTTCTAAATCTTCTCAATGGACACACCTTTTTTTGAAATGACGTTGAACAAAGGCCTACATGGATAAGGAGCTGGAAGCTTTCTTCCTTCCAGGAACTAATGTCTTCGCTGCAGGTCCTAGCAAAGACTCACTCGTTGCGATTCTTTATTTCTGAGGAACTGCTCCAGATGGAACAAGGGAGTTCCTCAACTATATCGCTCCCATTCTCTCCTAGATCTCGCAAGGCTACAAGACACCTCCTCTTCTAATGGCAATAGGGAAATCGCGGAATGTGCCGCGTTTTTGTCTTGAACTCAGTAACTATCCTAGGAATATAGACCTACAAAGAAACTCTCTGGGCCAACCGATTTCCGTTGTATCTGGCGAACCTAACTCTACAGTCGCTATAAAACCTCACGCACACCGAATTGATTCGTCATAAAACCCCTTGCGAGGAATTCCGGAACATAACGCGCTCCATGGCCAATGGCAGTGTTAAAACGTCCCCACCATTCTGTTCACTACTGGCACCCCAAACACACGACCCCCTCTTCCTCCCGGCAGTCCGCATACGACCACCACGTTGCGGATAACGGGACACACGGACGACCCTGGATGAACTCGAACACTCGAGGTTGTGATTGAAAATTGGGCCAGTTGAAGTTTTGTAGCGAAGCGCCCATTATGTTTCCTCTCCTATTACATTTGTTGACCTTTTCGTTAGTACATGCTATACACATAAATGAAAAATGTATGCGTAGATGGGGATTTCCTCCAAATTCGCGGAACTTCACTAAAGTTTTCTTACCTAGATCTAGATTTCGAACTAATATTTTAGAATTTTTTCAAGAATCATCCGCCGCCAGCGATTCGCTGTTACTATTCTGCCAATGGTTGAGGGTGTGGGCACAAACGCTTTGCTAAGCAAATCTCGAACGTGTTACTAGATGGTCGAACACCTGCACAACATCCCCTTTGAGTCCGGTCCCTATACTACTTTCCATAGTAGTACGCTATCGAAATGGTGACTCCGGTTTGAGAGGCAAACTCCGTTCAGAGGGGTTATCTGCAAAAAAAAAAGCAAAAGCAAAATACGCTGTTGCAAGAGCGCGGCTCATAAGCGTACACTCTCCCTCGGGAATGTACCGAAGCTCGACCAAAGGACTGCTCATGACACTCATTGTCATTGACGAAGGCGTGTCAACTATTGTCTACAACCGCTTCTCCCCCTTCTTCGGTACAGGCTGATTAGAGAACGTCACCCCTTCAGATGAAAAATGGTGTTTCGAGGCAAGCCGTACACTTACCCCTGAGTGAGGACAGTCCCTCCCGTGCTCTTAGAAGAACGGATCCCGCCTGGATAGCTGCTACATCTGGCCACAGCTTTGTGTGTTTGAAACGGCGCAAGAATAAGGCCTAAAGTGGTTATCGGTTCCTGACGTGCCGTTTGATCTCTGGCCGCGCTGCTCCTCAAGGTGCAGGCTTTTGCGTCATACTATACTAAAGCCAGCAGGTCGGCAAACTTGGAGAAAAACCAGTAATGATAAAGCGCAGACAGTAGCGCGTGCGACTCTAGTCAAGCGCGAACCTGACCGTGCTTCGCGTAGCGGTTCCGGATAACGGCACCCGGTTGTCAAAACCACCCTCTGCTCCTATCCCCCGCATTTTAAAGGGAGAAAGTGGCACGCTTCTGCAGCTGCGGACTCATTTACCTCGCACATTGCAAGGGCCAGGATCGCGAGGTGAGGGTTCACTTTGTCATCAAATAATGTCAAGTCTGCCCTGGTTAAAGAACCGTAGAACATGTTTATGTTGCGACGTAACCATTTCAAAGGCATTCATGAAGTGACACATTCAACGGGATTTCTCCGGAACTATGGCTCATAACTTCAATTTGACGCACGCACTACGCTCTTATGCTGAAATGTGAAAACTTCGAAGTGAAGGACATATTAATAGAAAGATGGGGGCGGCAGGTCACCTCGTGACGAACGATAAGACATCTTGAACAGTACTATATATTATAAAGAATCCCCATGACACTGGGCAACTCAATTATGGATTCTGCTATCGTATTTTTATAGCTTTTGCTAGCCTTAGTTTTGCAAAACCCTACTCAAGTTGAATGTTTCAGATGTCTGATGACTAATTCTCACGCGAAAGAAGATACCTGTTCTTTGTTATCACCTACTATAATATAAACGCAACGTCTGTTTGTTTGTCTGTTTGTCTGTCTGTCCGGAAATTCGGCATCACCTGAAGAACCAGTTGGAGGCGCCGGGTCAAGGGTGGGTTGGGTAGGGCATGGGTCTAGATGTACGGAACACACATGAACTGAGCTAAGCTCCGCCCACTGTGGGCGGGGCATGCGCACAGTTGTGAGCTACATAGTTCAAAAATTCGTAGTTCGGTTCTAGAAGATCCCGGAGAGCGGAAATTGTGGGAAACGATAAGCAGTCAGTTGGCGGATGAAATGAGGGAGTCACACCCATGATGGGCGAGGCGTGCTATAGATGGGCGGCGCATCCTAATGCAAAAAAAACAAAAAAAGAGAAACTTAAAAATTCGTAGTTCGGTTCCAGAAGATCCCGATGAGCGGAAATTGGGGAAACGATAGGCAAACAGTTGGCGGACGCAATGAATGAAGCACACCTGCGATGGGCAGGGCGTTCGCCGAAGTAAACGGTGCCCGGGATAAAAACCCTCAAAATATATCCGAAAAACTCCAGGAAATGGGAAGTAAGTACTGAGCAATGGTTGCGCAGATGAAGTTAGTTAGGGATAACCGTAGCGAGTATACCAAATGGTTGGTGCCGTTTATTCTGCGCTTCTTCATCAGTAACGGGATTGTGTGTTATAGAAAATTTTGTTCACTGTCTGCTAGGGGGGGGTATATACTAGCAGTGAAACGGCAAAGTGCGGTAATTCTCAAAACAATTTTTTTTCGACCATTCGACCGGCGAAGCACCGGGACCCACTTCACACCGCCGGAGAAGAGGATCGGTGCCGGCGAAGCCGCCGTCCGACTGCCCTCCCTCTCATGGAAAACTTCTCACCGGGACCCACTTCACACCCGGAAGGAGGATCGGCCGGCGAAGCCGGCCGATCCGACTGGCCCTCCCTCTCATGGAAAACTTCTCACCGGGACCCACTTCACACCCGGAAGGAGGATGGCCGGCGAAGCCGGCGAATCGACTGGCCTTCCCTCAATGGAAAACTTCTCACAGGGACCCACTTCACACGCGGAAGGAGGATCGGCCGGCGAAGCCGGCCGATCCGACTGGCCCTCCCTCTCATGGAAAACTTCTCACCGGGACCCACTTCACACCCGGAAGGAGGATCGGCCGCGAAGCCCGGCCGATCCGACTGGCCC